TACTGTCTTTTACTTATTTCTGAGAGAGAGAGAGAGAGACTGTGTGAGCAGGGGAGGGTTAGAGAGGGAGACACAGAATCTGAAGCAGCCTCCAGGCTCTGAGCTAGCTGTCAGCACAGAGCCCGACACGGGGCTCGAACCCAGGAACCGTGAGATCATGACCTGAGCCAAAGTCGGACGCTTAACCGACTGAGCCACCCAGATGCCCCAAATGAAGTGGAAACTGAAAGAGAGCATAAGTAATTATATTTACACCAGATAAAATACACTTTAAGACAAAAACTGTTAGAGACCAAGAAGGTCATTATATAATGATAAAGGAATCAGCTCATCAAGAAGATAAAACAATCATACCTATAGGTGCATCAAAAACTAATATATTAGTATATAATAAATATATTAAACGGATACAGACTTGAAGGTAGAATTAGATAATAATACAATAGTAATAGGAGACTTCAGTACCCCCTTTTCAGCAATAGATTATCCAGACAAATCAACAAGGAAACACTAGACTTGAACTATACTTTAGAATAAACAAATCTCACAAACATAGATACAACACTTCAGCAGCATCAGGGTATACATTCTTCTCAATTGAAGATGGGGCATTCTTCAGAATAGATCATATGATAGGTCACATAACAAGGCTTAGCCAATTTAAGAAGACTAAAATTATACCGCAGATCTTTTCAGACCACAATGGTATGAAAGTAGAATGTAGAAATCAATAATTGGAAGAAAGCTGGCAAATTCACAAATATGTGCAAATTAAGCAACACAGTTCTGAACAACCAGTGGGTCAAAAAATGAAAAAGGAAATTAAAAGTATCTTGACACAAATGAAAATGGAAACAGCATACCAAAGCCTATGGGTTGCTGCAGTGTTAAGAAGCAGTTTTATAATAATCAATGCCTTACAAAAAGAAAAAAAAATGTTAAACAACCAAAGTTTATACCTCAGTGAACTAGAAAAAGAAGAACAAACTATGCTCAAATTCAGCAGATGGAAGGAAATAAAGATCAGAGTGAGAAAAGTGAAACAGAGACCAGGAAACTATAAAAAGATTAGCAAAATAAAGAGCTGTGTTTTCTTTTTCCTTTTAAAGATAAACAAAATTGACAAATCCTTAAAGGGGGGAAGAAAGGAAAGACTCAAATAAAATGGGACATAAAATAGGAAGCATTCAAAATGATACCACAGAGGGGTAGCTTAGTTGGTTAAGCATCCGACTCTTAAATTTTGGCTCAGGTGATGATCGTGTAGTCCTGAGATTGAAACCTACATGGGGCTTCACGCTGGGCATGGAGCCTGCTAAAGATTTTTTTCTTGGGGTGTCTGCTTAGGATTCTAGGTCTCCCTCTCAGTCCCTCCCTTGCTCACATTCCATCTCTCTCTCCCTCTCTCTCTCTGTCTGTCTCTGTCTTAAAAATAAAACATTAAAAAAGAAAAAGATTCTGGCTTCATAAAATGAATCCGGGAGTTTTCCTTCGATTTCTATTTTTTGGAATAGCTTGAGAAGAATTGGGATTAATTCTGTTTTAAATGTCTGGTAGAATTCCCCAGGGAAGCCATCAGGTCCAGGGCTCTTATTTGTTGGGAGATTTTTGATCACTGATTCGATTTCTTCACTCGTTATGGGTCTGTTCAGGTTTTCTATTTCTTCCCGTGTGAATTTTGGTAGTGAGTGTGTGTTTAGGAATTTGTCCATTTCTTCTAAGTTGTCCAATTTGTTGGCATATAATTTTTCATAGTATTCCCTGATAATTGCTTGTATTTCTGAGGGGTTGTAATAAGTCCATTTTCATTCATGATTTTGTCTATTTGGGTGCTCTCTCTTTTCTTTTTGATAAGTCTGGTTAGAGGCTTGTCAATTTTGTTTATTTTTTCAAAAAACCAACTCTTGGTTTCATTGATCTGTTCAATTGTTTCTTTGATCTCTATGCTGTTTATTTCTGCTCTAATTTTTACTGTTTCTCCTCTTCTACTGGGTTTAGGGCGTTCTTGTTGCTCTGCCTCTGGTTCCTTTAGGTGAGCTGTTAGATTTTGGACTTGCGCTTTTTCTAATCTCTTGAAATAGGCCTGGAGAGCAATGTACTTTTCTCTTAGGACTGCCTTTGCCACATCCCATAGATTTTGAATTGTTCTCAAGCTATTCCAAAAAATAGAAATCGAAGGAAAACTCCCGGATTCATTTTATGAACGGACGTATGGATCAAGAAGATGTGGTTTATCTATAGCATGGAATACTACATGGCAATGAGAAACAATGAAATCTGGCCATGTGTAGCAACATGGATGGACCTTGAGGGTGTTATGCTGAACGAAATAAGTCAGGCAGAGAAGGACAAATATCATATGTTTGCACGTATAGGAGGATTAGGAGGAACTTAGGAACAAGGGGGAGAAGTAGGGGGGAAATGGTGGGGGAAAGGAAGAGAGGCAAACCATGAGAGACTCTTGAATGTTGATAAAAACTGAGGACTGATGGATGTGGGGGGGGAGGGGGGATGGGCATGGAGGTGGGCACTTGTGGGGATGAGCACTGGGTGTTATGTGGAAACTAATTTGACAAACTATTTGTAAAAAAAAAAAAAGATTCTCTCTCTCTTGGGGCACTTGGGTGGCTCAGTCAGTTGAGCGTCTGACTTAGGCTCAGGTCATGATCTTGTGGTTCATAGTTCAAGTCCCACATCAGGCTTGCTGCTGTTAGCCTGTCAGTGCAGAATCTGCTTTGGATCTTCTGTCCCCCTCTCTCTCCCGTTTCCCTGCTTGTGCTTTCCCCAAAATAAATTAATATTAAAAAAAAAAAACTTTAAAGATTCTTTCTCTCCTCAATCCCTCCACCTCCCTTTGCTTTTTTTGGTCTCTCAAAAGAAAAAAAAAATCTCTTCCAGAAATTGTACCAGAAATACAAGAGATTATAAGAGAATGCCGTGAACAATTTTATGCCACCAAATTGGATAACCTAGAGGAAATGGATGAATTCCTAGAAACATATAACCTACTAAGGATAAATCAGGAAAAATTAAAAAAAACATTAGTGATCCAGTAATGAGTAAGGAGATTGCATCAGCAATCAAATTCTTCCAACAAAGGAAAGTTCATGACCTGATAACTTTACTGGTGAATTCTACCAAACTTTAAAAAATTAATACCAATTCTTCTCCAACTCTTCCAGAAAATTAAAGAGGAGGGAACACTTCCAGCCTCATTTCATGAGGCCAGTAATATAATACCCAAGCCAGATAAGAACACTAAAAGAAAAGAAAACCAAAGACAATATCCCTGATGAATACAGATGCAAAAATTCTCAAAAATTTTAGCAATGCAAATTTAGTAGCACATTTAAAGGCTTATATGCCATGATCAAATGGGATTTATCGAAGGGAAGAAAGGATGGTTCAACATTATCAAGCTCATTAATGTGTTATGCCTAACTGATAGAATGAAAGATAAAAATCATATAATCGCTCCAGTAGATGCAGAAAAAGCATTTGACAGAATACAAAATCCTTTCATGATAAAACTCTCAACAAATTGGGTTTAGAAGGAGCATACCTCAACATAGTAAAGCCCATTATATGACAGACCCACAGCTAATGTCATACTTGGTGGTAAATGGTTGAGAGTTTTTCCTCCAAAATGAGAAACAAGACAGGGAGCCTCACTCTCACCACTTCTATTCAACATAGTACTGGAAGTCCTAGCCAGAACAATCAGGCAATCAGGTGAGAAAAGGAAACAGAAGGCATTCAAATCAGAAAGGAAGAAGTAAAATTGTTTTTGTTCGCAGATGATATACATGTAGAAAATCCTAAAGACCACTGAAAACTGTTAAAACTAATCAGCAAATTCAGTAAAATTGCAGGATATAAAATTAACACACAGAATTTAGTTGTGTTTCTTATTCATTAACAATGAAATATCTGAAAAAGAAATAAAGGCAACAGTCTTTTTCAAAAAACTTACTTTTGGGGCGCCTGGGTGGCTTAGTCGGTTAAGCGTCCGACTTTCGCTTGGGTCATGATCTCGCGGTTCGTGGGTTCGAGCCCCGCGTCGGGCTCTGTGCTGACAGCCAGCTCAGAGCCTGGAGCCTGTTTCAGTCTGTGACTCCCTCTCTCTCTGACCCTCCCCTGCTCACACTGTCTCTCTCTCTCCTAGAAATAAATAAAACATTAAAAAAACCAAAAAGCTACTTTTGAAAGCAAGCAGGTACTTAGGAATAAATTTAACCTAGGAGTTGAAATATCTGTATATGGAAAACTGTAAAACGCATTACCGTTGTCCAATTGCTGATGGCCGTGTGTGGTATAGATTTATCATTGATAGTGATGTGGGCCGAAGAGTATAAAAAAATTTAGGCCATTTGTGTTTTATTTGAAGGGAGCTTTATGCATCAAGGAAAAGAAATGAAACACTGATTGCAAAACTTGTTTTTTTTTTAAACAATACATCTTTTATACCTTAGGAATTGAAATCAAATTATGGCAGATATCAAAGTGGAAAGTATTTGGAAAGAGTAAAAAGAGAAAAACTATGAGAGCTTCCAAATTCGTTCATTCTGGTGAATGTAAATGTTTGTCAGAGTCTGAGAATTGTTTTTCTAGCTCAGAGCTGTATACTGTATAAGTTGTTGGCTAGGGGATATGTTGGTTTTGTAGATACATGGCAAGCTATGTACATAAGTCTATATCCTGAGAGTGATTAGGTGGAACATTTCCAATCTGGAACCTAAAAGAATCTTTTTGTTTGTTGCTTAAGATCACAGTTTTCACCTGAAGGTAGAGTCTGAGTACAAATGACAATGAAATTCCTATCTAATGTGTATAGTCTGTGCAGTTTTGCATTCTTAATATGCAAAGTGGTTGCTTTATTAAGAGCTCTACTGTATTGTTGATAGAGTACTTCCATGCTGAAGTCTGGCTGCTATTTTAGTATATATGTGATATTAATCGCAAATTGCTTTTTCTAATGGAAAATCTTTTCTCTTTTACAGGGGATCTTTCCTGCGAATTATATTCACTTGAAAAAGGCAATTGTCAGTAATAGGGGGTGAGTAGTTGGTTTCACTAAATTTATTCATAATTTTTATAGACTGTGGAGTAAGCTTTTTTTTCTTTTTGGTTTATAGTATAAAAGATGCTATTAACATGTATTCCTGTCAAAAATAAATTTGCTTTATTATATATAATTCTGAGGACATGACTATTTCTTAAAATACTGACAACTTTAATACCTTTTCTTTTATATATGAAAGGTAACTTGGGTTGTGACTTTTTTTTTTTCCACCTAGTAATCTGTTTTTGTTTTTGTTTTTTTTTGTTTACAAATAGTTTATTGTCAGGCTGGTTTCCACATAACACCCAGTGCTCATCCCCACAAGTGCCCTCCTCCATGCCCATCTCCCCCCCTTCAGTCCTCAGTTTTTCTCAGCATTCAAGAGTCTCTCATGGTTTGCCTCTCTCCCTTTCCCCCACCATTTCCCCCCTTCTTCTCCCCCATGGTCCTCTGTTAAGTTCCTCCTAACCCTCCTATATGTGCAAGCATATGATATTTGTCCTTTTCTGCCTGACTTATTTTAGCTAAGCTTAACACCCTCAAGGTCTGTCCATGTTGCTACACATGGCCAGATTTCATTGTTTCTCATTGCCATGTAGTATTCCATGATAAACCACATCTTCTTGATCCATTCGTCTGTTGATGGACACTTAGGCTCTTTCCATGTTTTGGCTATTGTTGAGAGTGCTGCTGTGAACATTGGGGTACATGTGCTCCTGTCCATCAGCATTTCTATATCCCTTGGGTAAATTCCTAGCAGTGCTATTGCTGGGTCATAGGGGAGTTCTATTGTTAATTTTTTGAGGAACCTCCACACTGTTTTCCAGAGGGGCTGTACCAGCTTACATTCCCACCAACAGTGTAGGAGGGTGCCCGTTTCTCCACATCCTTGCCAGCATCTAGAGTTCTCTGATTTGCTGGGTTGTGAATTTTCTAAAAACAATAATGCATGCAGTATGTTTTTTATAATTTATTTACTATTTTGAGAATAGTTTCTGGTAGGATAACAACTATAATCTCTGAATAGAAGAAAGCAAATTGTAAATAAATCAAAATTTTAACATTTGTATTTTTGCACATTCAGATTGTGAGTGATTTTTTAAAAATTCTTTACTGTCATGCTCTAATTTTAAAAGTAATAAATATGTGTTATTATAAAATTGTGATTTTATTTTCCAAAATTTATCATTTTAAAATATAAAAATTTAAGGTACTATATAAGTATGATAGCTTTTGGTACTAGAAATAACGTTTTTGAACAGAGGTTGAGTAAGAATCAGAGTTTAGTTAGGGCTTAATCGGGAAATGAGAAACGTATAAGTCACTTTACAGGGTAGAATTTAATATAGGTTATTGTTTACATACATGTTTGAAAATGAAAAAGAAAAAGAGGAAGTACTGATGTAACACAAAATAATAACTGCAGAAAGAAGCCTATACTCTGTAGTCCGGGGAAACAAAAGATAATGGGCTGGGGATACCAGAACTCAGGATCTGGGAAGATGGGTGTTGAGACACTGGAGCTCAAACATCTGAGGAGTGAGGACATCACATGGCTGTTGCTGATATGTATGAAGAAGGGTAATGAGGATGTTTCTGGGAATGCCAATAGCAACTGGAGGCCGGAACTGATTTTCTCTGGTGGGGAACTGTGTATAGAAACAGCAGGAAGCACTTCTCCTTATCTCCTTTTCCCCACTATCTTTCAAGTACCCCCAGCAGACAGAGGAGCTTGTGAGGCAAAGTTGGCAAATCTCAGCATCAGAGTCAGTGCTTAGAAGGGTGGATTTAGAGATGAGAGGTATTAGTAGGTGACTGGTATGTCTTCTAAGATAGAATTTGTTATTGAGGAATAGTAAGCCTATAAGAAGATTCTGATATAAATGCATGATCAGCATACTTTTTATTCTCCTTCTTTTATAAAATATCAAAGACAAAGATTTAGAGAAAGGAAACTTGATAATCCTCTTTTAGTGAATGAACATTTGTAACAAATAATCTGTTACCTCAAATTTATAGGTAAGGACTGCCAAAATAAAAGGTCAAGACTGGATAGAAGTTATGTGGAAAAAGGAAGAGGGAGTGTCTAGACCAGGATCAGGAAGGCAAAAATAATGCCCCTGATTTATAACACTTAGTTCAGTAATGGGACTAATAAGAGCTGAAAATTGGCAGAAGATGCATAGAAGTGAGGTGAGACAGGGAGATAGAATGTTTAGGGATCTAGAAATAGAGTGCTTCAGAAAATATTAGCAAAATAATATAGTTCCTGATTGATAACCAGGGACTCATCTTAAATCCAGGAGCAGTGTTCTGTATCTATAATAGCTGTAAAGGAAATTGAGGACCACTTTGTTAGCAGATAAATCCCTACCTCGATTCAGTTTGTTTCAGGAAGGCAAAGGAGATATGGCTTAAAAAATTATACAGAGCAGCCATATTTGTTGGAAGTACACTTTCTTCAAGGAAGCAGAGAAATTGTCTTTTTGATGTAAATTTTAGAAAGCTACATAGAATCAATTCAGTATGCAAACCCCCCACAGTTTGGTGGTCCTAAATAATATTTCTGAAATTCTGAATAATATTTCTGAAATATTTCTTCAGAAGAAAGTATTTAAAAAAAACTGTCTTTAGGCGCTGAAGAGTAATCAATATAGGGAAGATTTTTTCCCCCTGAGTTTCTATTTAAATTCCAGTTAGTTAACATATGGTGTGATATTAGTTGCAGGCATAGAATATAGTGATTCATCATAAATTCCCTCCTTAATCTCTATCACCTATTTAACCCATCCCCCCATCCATCTCCCCTCAGGTAACCATCAGTTAATTCTCTATAGTTAAGTATCTGTTCTTTGGTTTCTTTCTCTCTCTTTATTTAAAGTGTATGGAGGATCTTGGGGGAATTTGGATCCTTGAAGGAAGGGATTCATATTTGTTCATGAATTCTTGAAGAGTTCATGTTTGTTATTTTATTTTACTTTATTTTATTTTATTTCATTTTATTTTTTTCATTTATTCCATTCCATTCCATTCCATTCCATTCCATTCCATTCCATTCCATTCCTCCTGCAGAGAATTTTTCAGTTTGCTGTTAAGTGGTGGAGCAGATTCCTCAAGAATTAGGAAATAGGTTGGAGTTTGGAATTCTCAGGAGTAAGAGGTTAAAACCTGGAGAGGAGAGAACCTCAGAGAATTAGAGTCTTAATCTGCTTACAAATTCCCCCTAAGTAATTGAATTAGTTCTAGTTTCTTTTGAGCTATGTACGAGTTGAGGAATCTTAGAGAGTACAGCTAGCAAACTGAATAGACTTCAGCAGCCACTTAATATTGGTGAAAAAAGTATTAGAGTTCAAGTCATAGGGTCATTGGTAAAATATTTGGGCTTTCTATTAGGATCTCTAAAGGAACTGGGGCACCTGGGTGGCTTAGTCGGTTAAGCGTCCGACTTTCGCTTAGTCATGATCTCGCGGTTCGTGGGTTTGAGCCCCGCATCGGGCTCTGTGCTGACTGCCAGCTCAGAGCCTGGAGCCTGTTTCAGTCTGTGACTCCCTCTCTCTCTGACCCGCCCCTGCTCACACTGTCTCTCTCTCTCTCCTAGAAATAAATAAAAACATTTAAAAAAAAAATAAAGGAACATAACCTATAAGTAAGGGCCGTACCCTTGGATAAAGGAACAAACCAGATATATAGGGCAAAAGTAAAATAGTCCAGTTCTAACAAAGCATAAATCTCTGAAAACAAGGGATGTTAGAATACTGTCATCCAGAAATAGCCGCTATAATGTGTTAATATGATATCCCATTTAAAAAAATTTGTTTAATGTTTTTATTTTTCTTAAAAAATTTTTTTTCCCATTTATTTATTTTTGAGGGACAGAGTAAGACAGAGGGTGAGCGGGGGAGGGGCAGAGAGAGAAGAAGACACAGAATCCGAAACAAGCTCCAGGCTCTGAGCAAGCATTCTGCACAGAGCCTGACGAAAGGCTCGAACCCAGGGAACCAAGAGATCATGACCTGAGCCGAAGTCAGATTCTCAACCGACTGAGCCACTCAGGCGCCCCTGTTTTTATTTATTTCTGAGAGAGAGAGAGAGAGAGAGAGAGCGAGCGAGCGCACACAGGGGAGGGTCAGAGAAAGAGGGAGATACAGAATCTGAAGCTGGCTCCAGGCCCTGAGCTGTCAGCACAGAGCCTGATGCGGGGCTTGAACCCACGAACCGTGAGATCATGACCTGAGCTGAAGTCGGATGCTTAACCAACTGAGCCACCCAGGCGCCCTGATTTCCCATTTTTTTATACATGGTATTTTTATTCTGTTCCCTGTCATGAGTTAAATTCTCCTTTATCCTTCCCCCCCACTCTTATAAATATTACATTGATGATATATCTCTTTTTTGTGTCTTTTTTCCAGCTTAATTTTTGTGACTGTTCTTGTTTCTATTCTTCCTCTTGGGGAGCCCTTCGTTATTCGTTGACTACTAGTCCAAGCCCTTAAATACTATTAATCCATGAGCTTTAATCCTTTATGTGCAAAATGTGCCTTTCTTATTCAGGTAGAGTAAGGTAGACAGTTTGACTACAGTGTGTGAAGGCAAGGTCAGTAAAAGGAGATGAGTGCAGAGTGACAGCACAGGGGTTAATATTGTAGGGCCTTGTAGGCCATGTCAGGGGTATTATCTTTTATTGAATGATCCAGGAGGCCACTAAAAGCTCTGAGAAAGAGAAGGGACATATTTTTATTTAATTTTAAACGTGTTATTCTGAGCTGCTTTGTTGAGACTAGAAATATAGTGGGGGCAAGGTCAGAAGCAGGGAGACTTGGTAGAATATTATAGTAGTTCATGGAAGACAGAATGATAGCTTGAATTCACATGTTGCCTGGTGTGATGAGAAGTGGTAAGGTACCATATATTTTGAAGTTAGAGCTGACAGTATTTGTTGAGCATGTAGAATAGACAAAAGAGTAATTGAAGATGACCTCAGGGTTTTTTGTCTT